GTTCCTGTTTTTAAAATTTGAGTTTTGTTAAAACTTTTGGAAAAATACGATTTAGAATTTTGTTTATTATTTTAAATGTTTAAATGTGTAAATGTCACATCCATAATTTCCTCACTCCACCAATACATAGTTCCCCTTTTGCCTGTGGATTTCAGTTTAATGTTTACACTCAGCCTGCAGAGGACAAAAATACTTTTTGATATCAGATTTTATATATTTATTGAATTTGTTAAAAGCACAAGTAAATTAATATGCACAGTTTAAGTAGCTAAATTAAATTTATGATATACATCTTTTTTCAAAGTGGATTTTTGTTAATTTTCACCTACTGCTTCTAATTGTTTCAGCTTCTTTTCAAAAAATTAAATGTACCCACTGACACCCTATAGTGAACATAGTTAAACAGTACAACTGCCAATGCATCAACCTTACGCTAGAATCATTCGTGGGTTTATCTCTATCCTAAATGCTGGAGATAGTTTATCATGAATTTCTTCCCGCATGTACACTCCCAGCAAGTTTTTATTAAAAAGGGGCCTATGGGTCATTCTTCAGTATCAAGTGTCTACTTTCATGTCCCGACACTTTAAGGCACTATAATTCGAAAAAATATAGAATGAAAATAAGATTTTTGAGCAGTGAAATTAACACGACTCCTATTATGTGCAGTGTTAAAAACTCTTTAACATAATGGACAAGATGCTCATTCTTTACAATACTCCCTCAAAACCCCCTCAAAATGCATGTCCCCGTGTATTTCTCAATATGTACCTACTGCCATAATTTGTAAAGTAAACAACTTGAAAAGGTAATTATACCTCCAAAAGCCAAGTAATATAATAATTGTCATTTCCGTCACAAAAGGTGTGACGGATATGACTTTTGCATTCTTTTCACAATCAATATTTCTTTGGGTCCTATTGAAAATAAAGGAACCCAGCATTAATTATTTCCTGTAGAAAACTACTTCACATCACCACTCCAATACAATAGAGACTAAAATAACAGAGAGAGAGATATGTTGCAAGGATGAATGAAGTCCCTGAAAGCCATCAGCCCTGTTTTTGGTACATAATAATTGTCAATTATCAGATTGATCTTCGATCAGGCCAATTAAATATGTTGAACACTTCAAGTTATTCAACATGGGAAAATGCACATGACGAACGTGAGAAACCACTAGCTTAATTGTCACTTCCTTAACATGCTCAAAATCCAAAATGTTTAAATAGGATTATGTGAAAATCTTAGATTTACGGTTTATGGAAAAGGTCCGTTGATGCGATTGCAAACCCCGCGCTTTGTGAATGCACATTGCCATGATCGCAACCTTGGTAATACGATTCTTTCCCTGTTAAATACTCACGACCAGGCCATGAACGTCTTGCAGTTTTTCAGGGGTTAATAAAATCGAGTTGACGGCGGACACACTGAACCAAGTACCTCACAGTCACAAATTAGCAGAGATAAAACCATGAAAACATCCGGAGAAAGTGACCCAACATGGCGACGACACTTGCGAGACGGGCTTGAGTACAGGGTCTTTTCATTGTGACATGTGCATGCAGCACTGACATGACAACAAACCGCCACATGTGAATTGTAACCATTCATTTTGCACCTGTCAGTGTCACAAAACAACACCACCTGTATGCGCCCTCACGTGGGCAATACGTCATACCTTGGGAATTTTCGTAAACATTGGTTTCGTTTGAAAGATTTAGCTTTGACTTCCAGCGATGTTATTTTGTCACTTTCGGGATATACTGGTATCGGTCTTTGTTTTGCTTTGAACATTTCTTGTTGTTGACAGCCCAAATGTTATGACATGCCTGTATCGGACATGTAATTAGTTGTGGAAATGATTACGACACCGAGTCCGAAGCTAGTCCGAAATTTCAAAAACGCCACTCTCAAAGATTTGTTTAGAGGGCGCTGTTAAAGTTACCGGTAGAAACTTTTTAACATAGACTTGGTGGCAGGATTACCCCCAGAGAGATTGACCCCTCATGATACCAAAAATGCTACCTCAAAATGAAAAAAAGTAGAACATAGTTCCCTAAGAACGGTGTAAAGATTATGTATGTTTGTTTTTGTGTTTACGTATATGTATGATATCCTGGGCAAATAGCAGAGCTGCAGCTCAGTCCATTATTTGTTTGCCAAATTGTGGTAAACGCAAGAAATGTGGCCTACAGAACCGAAATGGGCCGAGTCATTTGAGGGTACTCACCCTCAGGTGCAGTTCCACCAATGGGGGGGGGGGGGGGGGGGGGGGGGGGGGACAGGGAGCACCCAAATTTTTGTTGAGACCACCCCCCCCCATTAAAAAAAAAAGAAATTCCCTACAAAAGACGGTAGCAAATGTTAGAATTAAGGTGATGTCACATTCGAACGGTCTCTCCCTCCCCCCTTCCCCCTCAAAAAATAGTTGTGAGCAGGGGCCATGAATTGTACACCAGTCGCGGATCCAGAGGGGGGTGTCAACCCCCCCCCCCCCCAGCTCTGTCAAAAAAAAAAAAAATTATCATACAAATCCCAAAAATTTATACTGGTATATGTCCGCCTGTTCAAAATACGGTACACCAGTCTGTAATCTAGTGTTACTAATCATCGAATTTGAACAGTGCCCCCTATTGAAATATGGAACCAGCCCCCACCCCCACCCCAGTTTTTGATTTTACGGAGGCCAAGTGTTTACATTTTCTGATTTTTTTCGCTGATGAACCCCCCCCCCTGTGAAAATTCCTGGATCCGCCCCTGTACACTATTAGGTAATGTAGTGTGCACGATTGTAGGATTTTATCAGCACTCCCCTGGGCACTCCCCATTGAATATATGTACAAGAAAAGGAAGATACTTAAATTTTTAAGATATTTTAAATTTGGGTTTGATTATTTTTCTTGAGTACTTTCCATTAGCCATGATATCTACTTGGAAACATTGGGATTCTGTAACCAAGAAATTAAGCGTGACACGATGAAATAAGCCAGAGGAAAACATGGTCAATCTTTCACACAGAATAATTTGACTGAAACAAGTAAATTAGCTCAGATCTACATGTACATGTATTTAATATAAAATTTGCCATTGAAAATACAATTTTATTAAAAGTTCAAAAGAGTTCATTTCTAACATCACGTTGCCAGAAAACTAGAACATTTTATAGAAAGTCTGATTCATTTTAAACACCGCATCCACTTTAATAATTTGCCATTGGAAATATAGTTTTTTGAAAAATGAAAGAAGTGACTGTTAATTTGTACAGCACATAAATTCTGATAAGTTTAATAACTATATATGGTGTACATGTATTATAAATGACAAACACAATTACATGTACATTAAAGTAGGTGAATCCTATCCACATCATCTACGTTCATACCAACATCCATGACAGAAAACCTTATCGCATTTGCATAAATAATCTCAACAAGGCAAATTTGCACTTCACTGTAACACACATTGTTTTGATGTTCCAATGTATTTCACTCTCGAAGGTTATACGAAATGACAAAAACACTTCTAAATTGTATATAAATTCTTTGGAAGATTTGGAAACTTAAAACAAAGGGAATACAAATTCATCTTGATGTTTTATAATTACACATTGCACTCAGATGAATACATGCCTTTCGTGATTGCATGTGCTGTCCAAATCTGGTCTCAGATTATCATGATCATGACTAATCCTACGCATGCAAGAGTCATTTGACTATTAAAAATGTTCACATTTGATGTTTCCCATTTACCATCAGAAGCAATGAAATACACTACTTGTATAATCCTAATGACTGCAACTTTCTTAAAAGGTACATATGATTGTTTGCTTCTTGTGCCTTTACTTTCGTTTGAAGCAACAAAATTGCTAAAAGTCTGAAGCAGGGTGCATGACAACTAACCTGTTGAAGGTTGATTGGATAGTATACGTTTTAAGAAAACCGAGAAAATACATTCACTTTTTTGGGGTGTCTTGTAACTGGATTCCATTGCTAATGCATAATGTGCCGTGGACACCCTCTTTCAACACCACCTCAGTTTTCATCCACACGAAACAATTTCAGCTGGAATATTTTCATATTGTATTAGGTACCACTCCTATCTTGACTCTGAGCAGAGTTTTGTCATTAAATCAATTCTTCTCCAGGTCATTGCAAATGATGCACATGGCTTTGAGTTAACAGTGTTTCAATTTTATCTGTGAATGTACATTGGTCCAGTAAATAAAACTTTCAGGTCCTGTTGTCCACAAAATTTTCACACAAAATTTGAGCCCTGCTAACAAACTCATTGCACAGAGTAAGATGTGACAATAGCTTGTAGATTGACAACTAGTCTCTGTGGTTTCAGTAAAATATATAAAAAAACATGTTTACATAATAAAATATGTATATTGCATTATTAATTTAGAGCACAAAATTGCATCATGACAAGTTCCAATTTAAAGGGAAAATACAACATTTGCAAACATCAAAAATTAAAACTACCAAATCATTTTGAAATACCTTGCTGGACTGTTAGTGAATGACAGTGTAAAGCATCCTGTGAAATCATGGCACCTGGTATACTGTCATTTTCAAGAAAAGTGGTATTTTTGTATCAATTTCCAACGCTGATCGGCCGATCAGCGTTGGAAACAACTGGCTTTTTTTCAAATACTGGCCCCAATTGACCATCGCACTTGTTTGCAATCGATTACAAACCTATGGACGGGTACGAGCCAGCTAGACTGGTTCCCCGACCTTACAATTCCCCATTGTATGTAAACTGCTCTGTTTCTATGGAGTCAGGGAACCAGACTACAGCAAAATGATCGTTTTTCTTGGTTTTTATAGCATTTTCGAACCCCAAAACCTCAAAAAAGTCAGTGTAACTATATTTGCTATATATGTCCAACCCCCCAATTCCATCCATTTCTAAAAATTACAGCAAAAGCAAATGATGTATATTCCCTTTAAGAGTACTGATTTCAACAATGAATTAATCATTATTTTTTAAAAAATATAACACTGTCTCATTATTTTGTTACAATTGTTATATTATAATAATGCAATATATTTCATAATGCACTAATCGTCGGTTTCCCTTTTTGGTTTATTGGAACATTTGTTTGTTTATTTGAACAATCCTTTGTACTGATCCAGTGTAACCGGCACAAATTTGGACACCATGTATTGGTTCAGTTGAGCTTGCCATTTGGGGTCGAGATGCATGTTGAGAAGATGCCTGGTGATAGATGTCTTGAGATCCTCTGAGGAAAAAAAAAGAAGAATATTCAAAATGAGACGAGCAAAATGGTGGTTAATCTAAACGCAGACTCAAAACGGCAGGTTCTTGCAGGCGTTCAAAGTCTGATACTGGCAAGCACGTAGATTGTCAGATCGACCTATGATGCAGGGTTCAACATTATTTAAATATCTACAAGCGTACTAAATATCAGAATCATGAGGCCCTTGTATGTCCTCATGTACACGTGTCAGGTCAGATCTTCTGTTTAAACGGTGGTCTGACTGTCTGAGGTACTGTCCTCTTCCACACAACAAATATCTTTACGCAAAGTATGTACATGTGTATCACTCATTTTATTCAGCATTCATAAGATGGATTTTGCGTTGGAGTGATGTAAATCAAATTAAGTTTTGCCCTTCACCGGCGTATAAACGGTTGGTACCTCCCGAGTGAAAGTTGGAAAAATCACTCGGGTGGGACTCGAACCCAAGACCTCCTACTTTCTAGTGCAGATGTCTTACAACTCAACCACCGAGCTAAGGGAATCAGTTGGCTGGTTCAAATCTGATGTACATATAGCAGCAGGTATAGCATTAACTATTCATAAGATGGAATTTTAATTTGGGGTTATGTAAATCAATTTAGGTTTGCCCCCTCGCCAACGTTTTTTTTCCAACTTTCACTCAGGAGGTAACACACTCATACAGTGTTTATACGTCGGGGAGGGCAAAACCTAATTTGATTAGAGTTTTATTCAGCATGCAGAGTCCTGTGGTCAAAAGGTTCCTGTGTTTGACTCATGCACGATGTTATGTTGAGTCAATCTTGACAGGGCACACGGTGCTGGTGTTCTTGGGCAAGATACATTACTACAATTGCCTCCATTGAGTACAAGTGGGGGGGGGGGGGGTGCAGACCAGATAGGGCTGATCTCGAGCTTATAGCAGCAAAGTGTTCTCATGGCCTGATGAACAGGGGTAATAAGTGTGAGCAATCTGAGAGTGTTGTATAAGAGTGCTATATGAACACTGCACTATGATCATCAAATAGCTTAACATCAGCACAAGGTGTTGGGCGACAATGCGTTCAAGAGTTCCCCCTAAACCTTTTCTTAAGAGGTATTACTGGGCAGTGTTGTAGGACTCGAGTCTAGGACTCGGACTTGAGTTGGACTCTAGTCACATTGGAAAATGACTCGGACTTGACCATGACTCCTCGAACTCGATGACTCGCGACTCGAGTCACGTAATTTCATCAAAAGTAAAAACCTAACGTAGGGATGGGAAAGGATCATTGAGGAATACTGTTTGGATGATAAAACATGGAGGGAAGGGTTGGAGGAAGATTTTTTAGGGATGGGAATTAAAAGGAAAACACATTTTGGCTGTAAACAAAATGTGCACACACTACTATATACACTGGGATTTACTTAAAAGACAGAATGGAGGATCAAAAAATAATTTAAAAAAAACTATTAGTTCGGTGAACAAGTGACTTGTGTCTCGGACTCGGACTCGAGGCTTGTGACTCGAGACTTGGACTCGGACTCGGACTCGATGTTGGTAACTCGACTACAACACTGGTACTTGGTCACAGAGTCCACTGTACCTACCAGGTAATTCTGAGTTGACCACCCCAGGGTAGACAGGCAAAGGCCCCCATGAGGTGACGACATGAAGCTTGTCCCTCAGCTCAGGATGGCCCTTCATCTGTAAGGCCAGGGTGTTGGAGTTGATGCCTGTACCGTCTGCCGTCTTATTAAGGATCATCTGGATGGACTTCAGATGGGAACCTGGGCAGGAAAAAAAAAATTATGAGATGTAAATTAGCCTTTTTTATATTTGATTTTTTGTTTGCCCTTCGCTGACATATTTTGTAAACACTGTGCACTTAGTGTTGTCCGAAGGCTTAGGTGGGACTCAAACTAATGACCTCCTACACAAACAAAGTTGGGTTAAGCGCAAGCTCAGTGGTCGAGTGGTTAATGCGTCTGCACTAGGAAGCAGAAGGTTGGGGGTTTGTGTCCAAGCAGAAGTAAGCTTGTTGATTTTTTTTCTTGCAAACCTTCGGACAAAACTCAATGTGTACAGTGTTTGTAAAATACTTCAGGGAAGGGCAACAAAAAAAATACATATATGAAAAAGAAGATCAATAATTATATGGATGAAATTGAATAAAGTTGATTCCTACTTTCTAATTCACAATTTCGAATTTCACAACTATTCACATAGAATTGAGATGCAGACCAATTGCAAAGGAGTCTTCACAGATGTTTGTGTTACCCGACTGGATAATTTTACCGAAGAAACTGGCCTTGTTCTCTCCTATCTTTTCGAGTCCTCGATGGGTAATCCCGAATCCGCTCAGTGAATGGACGTCATTGTAGGCCCAAACAGATCCACGTAGGTCCTCAAACACTTTATATCTATCAATGAAATATATTCAATACAATTATGATTAGCATTGAAATATTTACATAGAATCAGGGGGGGGGGGATGTCAGGGGAAGAAAAGGGGATGGGGATTATATTCCCCCCCCCCAACAAAAATGGACAAACACACTTTCCCCTTCCCAATTGTCACATTTGTGGAAGACAGTGTTCTAGTGAAGGTTTGCAGTTTGCAGTAACACCATGTAGGCATGTAGAGTCTCTTTTGGGAAGATGTGTGGTTCTGAAAAGAACCACACATCTTCCCAAAAAAGACTTCTACATGGTGGTACTGCAAACTTTTACTAAACCATGCCACCACGTAATTAGACCAAGTAGTTAGCCCTTGCAAATTGTCTTGCAAAGATGTTCAATCAACAAAACTGAGAACATGACAACATCAACTTGATCGTAAGGCAAGGCAGAGACTGATTTCAAATAATATAATAATAATAACGTAAATTTATACTGCGCCATTATCCGCCATAAATGACACTCATGGCGCAAACAAACATTATATCAAATCAGAAATAACAAAACAATTAAATGTAACTAAACCAGAACATTCTGAGTGTTCTGAAACACATAGGTCTTTAGGGCAACTTTAAATTCAGAAAGCGATGAGATATTGCGAATGGCGAGGGGTAGTTTGTTCCAAAGATGAGGACCTGCGTGAGAAAATGATCGATCACCCCAAGATTTGTGAGTGTGAGGGACAACCAGCAAAGAAGCATCAGAAGATCTCAATCGCCTGGATGGATTGTAAGGAGTTAATAGGTCTATGTTGTATTCAGGAGCTGAATCATGAAGGCAATGAAAAACCAAGGGCGGATCCAGAACACAATTTTGGGGGGGCCAAAAAAAAATTTGGTCCCCCCCAAAAAAGTGAGTCTCAAAAATTACGGCGTGGGGTTCGGGGCCCGTGAGGGCCCCGAAAATTTTTTGGATTCTAGATGCTCTGTGGTGCGATCTGAGGCAATTTCTGACCACTTTAACCAATTTTTTTTGAGGAAAAGATGGTGGTGTACTCATTGCCTGCCTTTATTGCAATGTCACATTAAAAAAAAAAAAAAAATTGGTTTCGTTTTGGGGGGGCCATGGCCCCCTTTGGCCCCCTCCTGGATCCGCCCTTGTGAAAAACAAACAGTAACAGTTTGTACTTAATCCGGTCAGCAATGACAACAACCCCAGAAAGTGAAGAAGAAACTCTGATCAGATGACAACCAACATTTGCCCAGGAAAAAAGAAAGGCAACTGATGAACAGAAATCAAATTGTGAATTGTGAATAAAAACTTCCATTTGACTTCATTCCTTATCAGATCAAATTGAATATCAAACAGAAGGGAATTACAGAATTGTTGTATGGGTAAATAAATCAACATCCAGGGGAAGAACACAATTCATTATGGGGAAAAGACAAGAAGGATTGATAGAAAAGAAAATCTCCTCCTTTTTTGCTGTTGTCTACATCTACATATACCTTTGTACAAAGTAATATTAGTGCTTAAAGATGTTTTGAGTGAATGTTACTTTCCGTCATCAGTAACATGACCAAATTGAAACCAACTACCAACTACCTGCTCCTCCGTCCAATCACATCCATATACTGTCATTATCCCCAAAGCCATTTTCAGGATGTATTCATCAAGTTTATTCCCATGTGAACGGTTGAACCAACTACAGGATGAGTCAAAAAGAAAGTGACCGAATTTGAAAAAAATGTTTCAAAAATTTGGCTCGTTCTATGTTAATAAAAAAACATGGATAAAGTACATCTTATCAGACTTGTATGACTCGTGACTCAGACTCGGACTCAAGTCCAACTCGAGTCACATTTTTAATGACTCGGACTGGGACTCGAGTCACTTTGATTTACGACTCTGACTCGGACTCGGGGCTACGGACTCGGACTTGGACTTGAACTGACTTGTGACTCGATGGAAATTACCGCACTGCACACGCGCACATATATAATTCGATCGTTTTCTTTACTGTGCAATACATGTACAGGGCGCTCGATGTGGTGCGTGCGTGGCCGTGGCCGGTTACCGATATATTGACTTATAGAAATCAATGCACTGAAACTTGTACCCCGCCATCAACACGCAATACTGCATTGGTGCAAGATTGATAGGGTAAGGTACCAGACTTTTCTTGTCAGACGTCGTGTCGTTCACACGTGTATTGCTGTCGCATCGCGATAACGCGATATGAATAGTCTGCTGATCTGCCCGTTTCGGTAACGTTACATGCAAGTTGCAACGTACGTAGATCATGATGGCATCCACTTCAAAAATTGTCAATTTTGGATATCTTAACATCAAGAGAAATGCCAATGGAAGATCAAGTGCAGAATGCAAGTTCTGCAGGAAGAAAATAGAGGAGAAAACCGGCACTACGCGTACATGTACGTCCAACTTCAATCGCTACCTTTCACGACGTCTATAGAACTTAGAAGTCTAAAAAAAGATATTTGAAACGCCTGAACTTCAAATGCAAAAGTTAGGCCAATACCAGTTTTGTCTGAATTGCCTTTATAACTGTTTTTGCAAATGAACTCCTCATTTCCAGAGAAAATTAGAGAAAAGCTGTGGGGAAAAATGAAAATGTACAGCACCTGAAATGTACGTATTTCCATACTATATCAAAGGTGACTCTGAATCTCTGAATTCCCTAAAATGTACGTTTTTTGATACAAAGAGGTGACTCGTGACTTGGACTTGGACTCAACCTTTGTGACTCTCTGACTCGGACTTGAACTGGAGGACTCGGGACTCGGACTTAGACTCGAGAAATGTGACTCGAATACAAGTCTGCATCTTATTGACTATTAACTGTGAAAATTTCACTTAAATTGCAAACTCTATTCCCAATTCATGTCTATTTCAATAAAACGATCGCAAAACTTGGCTGTCCACCAAAACTGTACCGTGCTGCAAACTGATAATACATCTCCCAATGAGGATAATGAAACATCAATTGTTTTCCCACCTCCATGAATGAACAAGAACTTGCAAAGGAAAAGATACAAAATCACCATCGATATTTCGAAGAAAAAAAGAGAGTTAACTTGCTTCTCATATTCAAAAAACACAACCTGATAGTAAAAATTCTCTTGATTTCAATTATTAAAATCTCATTTGTATTTGAATACTTGTGTGTAATCTGTAATTCTCACTTAGCTCATTTAGCTTTCAATATTATCGCATTCCTTGCACAGCTACACAAACAGGTTCTTTTTAGTAAAACATGCATAACTTTGGATGGCACGATCAAATTTAGTGATTGGGTTTTTTTCAGATGAGTGTAAGAACATGCTCTTTTAAGACATATTTCTTCGGGTGTATCTAATTTGATTGCTTAAGTAAAAAAACAATTCTTGAGTGCGGGTCACTTTTTTTTTAATCACCCTGTATAAACACAATGTGAACATGCATCTCTCATACACACTAAACTTAATTGTCTTCATTTTCTATCATCCTCTTTTTTTTCTGTCTTTTCTTCTTGTGCGGTAGCCCTCACATTGAGTGGCAGTTATGCCTTGTGAAGGAACGACTTGTATAAAAAGAACAATTACATGTACACAATACGCATGTTTAATCTGGAGCCAATCATTAAAACTGAAACAAATTCAATTCTCAGATTTCATGTCAGTGCAAGTAGTGAAACTGACTAACATGCATCTGCTTTGGTTACAGGAACTGATACCACAAGATAGTCACATGCATTAAAATCGGACAGAAATGTTGGGGGAAAAAGAAGGAAAAGAACAAGAAACTTTCTGTTTCAATTACACTTTGCTCAAGGTCTTACAATCCCTGTAAGTATAAATCTGGAGTGATCTTGAAATAGAGAAGAACATTCTTTGCTGCATCTGAACAACATGTGGCTCACGGAGCTCAATGCTACATTGTGCATGAACTATGGGTGATGACTACCAAAACAGCTCCACTCCATCAACTGGGTGGAAAACTGAAGTTGAAAAGCATCGTGAGAACTTTTACATGAGTGGAGAAAGAACTAAACAAATAACATGGTTAAGTGCTGAAATCATTGCACCAATCGGCCTCTGCTAAAACTTTGTCTTTCTATTCACAGTCATTCGAGTGAAGTCCATGCGTACAATCATCAACATCTACTTATCCAATCTGGCTGTGGCTGACTCCCTCTACCTTATGAATTACTTCATATTTGCACTGTCTTCACCTACAGAGTACAACTTGTTGGTCAACAATGCAATATCAAGTGGCCAATGCACGTTCATCGCTACTTCTAATTTCTTTGTGGTTACCATAGCAGCTGAGAGATTCTCTGCAGTGCGCAATCCTATAACGTTCAAAGAAAAGGCCTCTAAATCTCGAGCAGCAAAGATATCAGCAGGACTCTGGGTGCCAACAATTATTGTTGGTGTGATTCTGATTTTCGTACCATTAACAGAAGCTGTCTCCGATAAAGTCTACTTTTGGATTCTTTCCATTATCAACATTGTCTCTTTGATAGCAACTCTTGCTTTGTACATCTATGTAGTATTGAAAGTACGCAAGCAATCAGCCCTGTTGCCAAACCGTCCCAAGCAAGCAGGCAAGGTCCTCTGCATGGTTATCATCAACACTGCTGTTTTCTTCATTCTGAACTCACTGACCTTTGCAGCTGCAATTATGGCAATACATGCACGTGTAGTGTCATCCAATTATACTTCACCTGCTCAGATTGTTGCCAATCTGGAACTTGGAGAGACAATACATATTCTGACTATATGCATTGAAATTTTGCAACTGATCAATAGCTCAATAAATTCCCTGGTCTACAGTGCCACAAACGTTGACTATCGTGAAGCTGTAGTCAAGGCTTTCTCATTCCTGAAACTGTGCTGTCGTTGCTGCCCAAGACGGAATCCCAGCCGACCATCGCAGCCAGGAAAGCAGATTGAGCTTCGTGTGATTCCACAGGCAGAAAATGACCAAGAGCACCATGCTGCCAGGCCAAGCAGCAGCAAGCCACCAAGCACTGGACAGCTGTCACTGGACAGCTGTCAAGAACAATGTTCCAGGCAAAGCAGCAGCAAGGCATCCATGCACAGTCATCAGCATGTTCAAGTGCATGTTGAGGTACATGCAGAACCAGCAGGGACCCCAGCCCTTGCAAGTTCTCATCAGGAACAATGCTCTAGTCTGACTGACTGCAAGCTATCCATGCAAGGGGAACAGTGTGAACATCCAGAACCAGCAGAGAGCCAGCAGTCACTTGCAAGTACTCAGGAACAATGTCCTGGGCAGCAGTATGCACATCCAGAACCAGAAGGGATTTAATCTTTGGAAAGTTGTCAAGAACAATGTTCACTGGTACCTGATAAGTGCAAGCTGTCTTTAAGGGCAGCAGTGTGTAGAGTGAGTGCTGCTTTTGAACTTGCTGTGTTCAAAGTGTAGAGCAGATTTAAGGCCGTTTCATACATCTTCTTCATTGGAATGCCAAGTAGATTTGACATCGAGAAACATTAACAGCACATTATGCTGGAGTTGAAATGTGTTTTACTTCAGGGAATTGCCAATACATGTACGCACCATGACATCAGTAATGTGCAGGCCCGCCCAGAGCAGATTGCAACCAACTATCAGTAAAGGGAACAGCTGGTATTCATGCAATGTATGTATGTAAAAGGTTCAGAAATGAACAAATCCTAAATAGTTTAATTATTTGAATCAAACTTTTGTTCGTGTTTAAAGGTAGAGTAGATCATTTGCAGCTATCCAAAAAGTAACTGACAAAATTATTGCTAAAAGGCTTTTGGTTTTAATGGCACTAAACTCCCTGTGAAATCATTCTTTCTGGCATGCTGTCATTTTAAAGGAAACAATGAAAGAAAGCAATTTTTAACGATGCATCATGTTAGTTCATGTAGTTGGTTTGTAAATTCGGTGAATCCATGAATATGTGCACACAAGCGTCGACACGACGCACACTAGGTTGCTATTATTCGTCAGTTCAGTGCATGACATCGCGTAGCTGCAATTGACTGAATGAGAATGTGTCCCTGGGGCTGAATTCAGACACAATATAAAACATGACTCAGCAACTTTTGAATTGAACCTGAGATCCTAGAATATATGTTTGGAATATACTGCATTCACAGAGCTAAAACTTCATCATGTTAGTTGTTAAGCACCCGTTTTTAGATTTTGAGCACTTTTGTAGCTTCAAATGAAAAAAAAATGCACAAATGACAAATGACCTACCCTTCCTTTTAATGAGCAAGTTTGTTACTTTTTTCAGTGTGAAAATGTACAAGTAATGGTACTAACATATGGATAACCCTGAAAGTTCACTGGAAATAAAGAGGTTTTTTTTAAGTGCTTTTGAAACAGATTTGGAGGTTTTTGTTTTAGGAAATGCACCTCTGTATTCCAAGTCTTTGGATGTTTCAGGCTTTTACATATTTTTATGATGGTGCCAAGATGCATGTTCATGACAAATACAGTGATGTCATGAGCTGGAACTTCAGTGTCACTGCTGTTTGAGGGGACAAAATGTAACATAAGTGTTTTGATCAAGTTTGATGTGACTGTTGCATTCATTAGCACATAGCATGCAGCCAATGAGATACTTAAATGTACAAACCTTTACACAGTATGTACAATGCAATCAATTTTAGGTTCATAAATTATACAGAAAATCCCAAAGCTGTGAAGTGTAAAATACCTAAATCGACATCACAGCAATATTAGAAACAATTGTGAACATGTGCACGGGCATTGCAAAAAAGTGTGCATAAAATGTGGTCATTACTTTCATACAAACACAGGGCTAGGATATTTCATGTTTTAGTGAAATTCATTTTACAGCCTTTTGATTCTGTTATTAACAGACCTTGACAAATCCCAAGCATGGAGCACAATACATACATACTCCTATAAAAAGGCACAAACTGTATGGTTATTGTTATTGAGGGTTCAATGTTAGGGGAGCAAACTCACCGCAAATCCAAATTGTCTTGGGAGATTTTGGATCTCAATCTTGAAGATCTCTGAGGTGAAGTGCTGTAGTGTCCGATAGTGATTGGGATCCGTTATGGCAGCACCAGTCACTGGTACGTCAGAGGTGCTGGTGGAATGGTTATCTTGTGGGTCAAGACCTGATGCACAAATGAACAGATTAAAAGACCAACTCCGATTAGAGAGGAAGAAAAAAAGATTAAATTGGTATTTTTTGAGGTATATTAAAGTCTAAAATGGGCAAGATGAGATGTCTATGGCTATTGTCTAGGTCTTCACCCAAAACAATTACATAGGAACAATCTGACAATAGCCATAGCCATAGCTCTAGAAGCCTGTTTCAGACACAGCCTAAGTAACAGATCAACAAAGTTGCAAGTTATGCATTAGGAGCATCTGATTCCAAATACATTACACAAATGTATTTGGCTCAAGGTCTTACAATCCCTGTAAGTATAAATCTGGAGTGATCTTGAAATAGAGAAGAACATTCTTTGCTGCATCTGAACAACATGTGGCTCACGGAGCTCAATGCTACATTGTGCATGAACTATGGGTGATGACTACCAAAACAGCTCCACTCCATCAACTGGGTGGAAAACTGAAGTTGAAAAGCATCGTGAGAACTTTTACATGAGTGGAGAAAGAACTAAACAAATAACATGGTTAAGTGCTGAAATCATTGCACCAAACGGCCTCTGCTTAAACTTTGTCTTTCTATTCACAGTCATTCGAGTGAAGTCCATGCGTACAATCATCAACATCTACTTATCCAATCTGGCTGTGGCTGACTCCCTCTACCTTATGAATTACTTCATATTTGCACTGTCTTCACCTACAGAGTACAACTTGTTGGTCAACAATGCAATATCAAGTGGCCAATGCACGTTCATCGCTACTTCTAATTTCTTTGTGGTTACCATAGCAGCTGAGAGATTCTCTGCAGTGCGCAATCCTATAACGTTCAAAGAAAAGGCCTCTAAATCTCGAGCAGCAAAGATATCAGCAGGACTCTGGGTGCCAACAATTATTGTTGGTGTGATTCTGATTTTCTTACCATTAACTGATGCTGTCTTCAATAAAGTCTACTTTGGGATTCTTTCCATTATCAACATTGCCTCTTTGATAGCAACTCTTGCTTTGTACTTCTATGTAGTACTGAAAGTGTGCAAGCAATCAGCCCTGTTTCCGAACCATCCCAAGCAAGCAGGCAAGGTACTCTGCATGGTTATCATCAACACTGCTGTTTTCTTCATTCTGAATTCACTGTACACTGCAGCTGCAATTATGATAATACATGCACTTGCATCAAAGTATACTTCAACTGCTCAGATTGTTGCCAATCTGGAACTTGGAGAGACAATACTTATTCTGATTACATGCATTGACATTTTGCAACTGATCAATAGCTCAATTAATTCCATGGTCTACAGTGCCACAAACACTGACTTTCGTGAAGCTGTAGTCAAGGCTTTCTCATTCCTCATACTGTGCTGTCGTTGCTGCCCAAGACGGAATCCAAGCCGACCATTGCAGCCAGGGAAGCAGATTGAGCTTCATGTGATTCCACAGGCAGAAAATGACCAAGAGCACTGTGCTGCCAGGCCAAGCAACAGCAAGCCACCAAGCCAAGGGCATGCACAACACACAGCGAGTCAGCAGTCACTGGGCAGCTGTCAAGAATAATGTTCCAGGCCAAGCAGCAGCAAGGCATCCATGCACAGTCAGCAGCATGTTCAAGTGCATGTTGAGGTACATGCAGAACCAGCAGGGACCCCAGCGCTTGCAAGTTCTCATCAGGAACAATGCTCAAGTCTGACTAACTGCAAGCCATCCATGCAAGGGGAACAGTGTGTACATCCAGAACCAGCAGAGAGCCAGCAGTCACTTGCAAGTACTCAGGAACAATGTCCTGGGCTGACTGGCACCGAGCCATCAGCACAAGGGCAGCAGTATGCACATCCAGAACCAGAAAGGAGTCAATCGTTCGGAAGTTGTCAAGAACAATGTTTTTGGTAACTGATGAGTGCAAGCCATCCACGTAAGGGGAGCTGTGTAGTGTTTAAACTGTAGAGCAGATTTAAGGCTTTTTCATACATCTTCTTCACTGAAATGCCAAGTAGATTTGATGTCAAGAAATATTGAAAGCATAAGATGCTGGAGTTCAAATGTATTTTAGTTAAGCAGATTGCCAATACCTGAACCTGCCATGACATCAGTAATGTGCAGGCCCAGAGCAGATTGCAACCAACTGTCAGTGAAGCCAACAGCTGGAACTCATTCAATGCATGTATGCAAGTGGTTCAAAAATTACAAATCCCATTAGGGCCTATGTTAATTGTTACTTTAATGAGCTTTTCGTGTATGTTTAAAAGAACAAGTTTCTTTTATTACTTTTTCAGTGTGAAAATATACACATATTGGCACTAACATATATGATACACCGGACATTTTTCCACTGTAAATATGTAATTTTTTAGGTGCCTTTGAAACATATTTCAGTTTTTGATTTTATGAAATCCACCTCTGCGTTTTAAGTCTTAGGATGTTCCAGGCGATTAAATATTTTCACGAAACAGTGCAGTGATGTCATGAGCTGGAACTTCAGGGCCACTGCTGTTTGATGACAAAAAAATTACAAAAGTGTTTTGGTCGAGTTTGATGCGACTGTTGCGCTCATTTAGCACATGGCATGATGATGCAGCCAATGAGATGCTTTAATGTACAAACTGCTTTGAACATGTATAAATGCACAATGCAATGAATGTTAGGTTCATATTACACAGAAAAGCCCAAAGCTGTAAATGTGAAACAACTAGTTCAACTTCACAGCTACATTAGAAACAACTCTTAAAGTGTACTGGCATTGTAAAAAGTGAACTGGGGAAAAAAATGACCAAGTATCTAGTTGTTAACCATTACTTTCATATAAAGATGAGGCTAGTGAAATTCATTCAATGGCCTTTTAATCAGTTCTGATGCATAAAAAGACCTTAAGAAATCCCAACCATGGAGCACAATATGAACTCTTACAAGAGCACAAAACTGTATGATTATCGTTATCAAGGGTTGAATGCTTAGAGAGCAAACTCACCGCACATCCAAAGTGTCTTGGGAGGTTTTGGATCTCAATCTTGAAGATCTCTGAGGTGAAGTGCTGTTGCGTCAGATAGCGGTAAGGATCCGTTATGGCATCGCCAGTCACCGGTACGTCAGAGGTGCTGGTGGAATGGTTATCTTATGGGTCAAGACCTGATGCACAAATGAACAGATTAAAAAGACCAACTCCAATTAGAGAAGGAAAAAACGACTAAATTGCTATTTTATTTTAAAGTCTAATATGAGCAAGTGAGATGTCTATGGCTATTGTCTAGGTCTTCATCCATTACAGTTACATGTGAACAACCTGACAATAGCCGTAGCCATAGCTCTATAAGCCCGTTTCAGACACAGCCTAAGTAACAGATCAACAAAGTTGCAAGTTATGCATTAGGAGCATCTGATTCCAAATACAAACACCAAATACTTTTTGAAAACCAAATAAAGTGTAAAATATTTGTACAAACTTTCTTGAATTCTATCTTTAGCAACGAAAAATCAAACTGAATAGACGTTTTGCTGCAGAGGACATACGAGACCATTGTAGGCTTTAGATGTACAGTATGGAATTTAAGTCTGGTGTATCAAAGGTGTCTTCACAGCTACTAGCTGGTTGATAGTTAAAGTCAGCAATTTCGACTCCACTTCTGTCAATAGAGCATGCAACTTGCCCTCAAAAACCTAGGTGATTTTACTAGGTTTATCCAGTCAAGGGCAAAGAATGGGTTCTGAACAAGAAATCATCATTCCAATTTACAACACATTAAAACAATATTGCAAGTTGATTACTTGAGTAAATTGAAAAAATGTTGACCTCCACATCCGTTCACTGGTTGAATTCAAAAACGGGAGTCTGTGGCCAGACCAGTCAGTGTTTGGTACCAAGATGTTTACATAAAAAGTGAATGTGAACTGGCGAGACTTGCATGCTCTATAATTGTACATATTCTGTGTAGCACCACTAGTCTGTTGTATTACATTATGAGCTCCATGTCTGTATGATGTTAGAATGCAAAGCAATACTCTAATATTTCTTTTAGATGGACTCAAGGGTACTTCAAATTTGGGTAATTGAAAAATCAAAGCTGTAAAATATGAATGTTGTTGTAAAGTTAGCATCATACAAGATGTATCTTAATTTGCACAGTATCCAAGGAATTGCTGTTTTTTATATGTTCATTAAAGCTGCTATTTCCTTGTGTAATTTAACACTCTAACCACAAATAATACAGAAATATACTATCACCAAATTTGAGTTTGAGCTCTTACGTCTTTCTGATACCTAGTAATACTTGAAAAAACAAATTGCAGGGCAAACCATGTTTCTAAAAGTCACACACTTTTTAGAGGACAAACAAATTTTCGTGTAAAAGCAAGATCAGTGATAAAATAAATAAAAGTGTACACTAGTAACATTTAAACAAACAGTGATTTTCCTGAATTTTGTATTTAAAACCTAATTCTTGCTTGTACAAATGTAATTGTTGAAAAATCCCTACTGAGTAAAAGAGCTTGCTGGTCAATGTTGAAAGTACAAACATATACCCTCAATATTCATGCCAGAAAAGTAAGCCAACATATTGGTTAGCAAAGGGGATGACAAGGGTTAAAGTCTTTTGTGGCTTGTTTCTTTCTTCTCAATTAGTAATTCCTGACAGACATATTAGACAGTGCACAATATGTGAACCTATCAATCTTTCTGTGTGTTGCATTCTGATTGGTTGGAATTGATCAGTAGTAGCTACTAATAGGCCACGCCCCTCGACAGCCGATCCAATCAAACATGAAAGCTGATCTACGTCTTTTGCAAAAAGGAAACTTCTGAGGAAATACTTACCCTTGTAAGCGCCAAGCCGGAAACCAACAGTGTTATCTGTCAATGAAAATAATAAGACATGAAACTGAAACGTTTGCACAATTTATTCAGGCCCAAGTTTCATGAAGACCAACAAGAAATTAGGGAAAAAACTGAGAAAAAAAAATCCAGAAACTTTCTGTTGAGGTGTTCATAACAAGCACATTGTATGAAAATGCTATGTCCATTCCAGGTAATGTGCACTTTTAACTTAATGATGCAGTGCCTTGAGCACCAATACTGGTGGATAGGTGTGCTCTATCCTTAAAAAAAAACAAGAAAAGAAACACTTTTATGTCAAATTTTACTTTCATTTAAGATTGCCTAGAGTTACTCTTTGCTTATTTCAGAACTACTTCAACTTCTTTGTAAAGCCATGCTGACAGGATTCAATGAGCAGCATTTTCCCCAACACATGATAATGCCATTGCCCATTTCCCCACTGCCCTGGTCAAAACATGGGTAGGGATAAATCCATAGCTGCCAACATTTCAAAATCCCAATTAGTAATCAACCCGCACGGTCATTTTCAACTGCTCGTTTTATCAAAAGCTTTACCAACATCGAGTACAGGTACATGGTTTACATGTACACATAAGTAGTAAGGGAGGCGGGGGTGCTGGACTTTGTCATAGGTCTGTGGGTAGTACAGGGCCATTAATGAGAAGTCAGGGTACCAGACTTTGTCATAGGTCTGTGGGTAGTACAGGGCCAATGGGAAATCCCCCGATCTCAAAAAAAAAAAAAAATCTGACGCCGAGAGAGAGAGAGAAAAAAAAAATATCCTGACGCCGGGAGAGAGAAAAAAAAAGAATACAAAATATCTGACGCCGGGAGAGAAAAAAAAAAAAAAAATCCTGACGCCGGGAGAGAGAGAGAGAAAAAAAAAAAAATCCTGACGCCGGGAGAAAAAAAAAAAAAAAAAAAAAAATCCTGTCACCGAGAGAGAGAGAGAGAGAAAAAAAAATATATCTCTGACGCCGGGAGAAAAAAAAAAAAAAAAAAAAAATCCTGACGCCGAGAGAGAGAGAGAAAAAAAAAAAATCTGTCGTCGCTAAAATGAGGTGATGTCACCACCACGTGACCTTGAAAAATATGTGAGTCACCATCACGTGCCCTTGAAACGTGTTGAGGCATGATAAAAATTTGGCGTAAACAACGCGACCTTGAAACGTGTTGAGGCACGAATGAGGGGAGTCTAATTATTTATAAATCTAAAAGTCTAACCTCAAAAAAAATGAAGAAAAAATATTATATTTCCTATAATAAAATGGAGAGTAATATGTTTAGACCGACCGTCAAAGGATATTCTAAATGGAACAAAGCCACGCTGCGTGATTACGTACAGCGGTATAATATACCGCACAATGAAAATGTTTCTCTTACTCGTAAAGTTTACATCGAGGGGATAAAACATTATGAAAGTAAATTTAAAAACTTGAGGAAAAAGACACTACATGAGCTCAAACAGATTGTAGACGAACACAATCTAGAATACGTACCGACGGGTTATAAAGGACGAGTTTTGAAAAAAGATTTAATCTCGGCGATTAAAACATACAGACAACCCGAATACTTTACAGAGTCAGCTTTTAGAGAAACGAGAAGGTTTAGAAATTACTACAGAAACTGGGAATTAAACCCCAGACTTTATAACCATGATTTAATCAAGTTTTTTGATTCGCACAAGGAACAAATAGTCAATAAAATCAAGTCTGAATTGAGAGAGCTGAGAGGTTTAAAAATGGAGCTCACAATCAAAATAAAATACGAAAAAACCAAACCGGATGGTACGATCGAAACGATCGAAGCTATTCATTATAGCAAGCAAAAAGCCGTTTTAAATCAAAGTCAAATAAAACAGGCTTTAAAAGAAGAGATCGAAGAGCTATTCAAAAAGGATGAAAGGTATACGAATCAAGGATCGGGTTGGGTTTTAAAAAAGATAATGGCGTTATACATCAACATCAACAGATATAATCCAGCGAGAGGTAGTTCCTACATAGACCTACCCGAATATCTTAAAATTAAGAAGGCGATGATCAACATCAAAAACAAAGACGATGAGTGTTTGAGATGGTGTTTGAGAGCTGCTCTTGAGTTGTATACGGATAAAGTAAAAAATCAAATAAGAAATAATCCTAATTATAAAATTCATAAAGAAGAACCTGTTGTATACACCAAAGACGACGGACTCAGTTTTAAAGGCGTTGACTTTCCGACACCGGTCGATCAGATACCCAAGATAGAAAGACAAAATAATTTATCGATAAACGTATACGGTTATGAGGGTGAGATATATCCATTATACGTGTCTAAAAACTATGGGTCACGAGAGATTGATCTGCTTTTGATTTCTAAAGGTGACAAGCATCACTATTGTTGGATAAAATATTTTACGAGGTTAATGTACGACGTTACGAAACATAAATGTAAGAAATATTTTTGTCGAAGATGTCTATGTCATTTTACCAATCAAAACAAATTAGACAGACATATCGCCGATTGTAAGGGTATAGATGCGCATCCATCAAAGATTGTATTTCCTCTGGGTAAACCAAAATATATAGACGGGCAACCAGGCGAAAGAGACGTACCGATATTAGAATTTAAAAACTATAGGCACAAACAAAAAGCACCATTTGTCATTTATGCTGACTTTGAATCCATATTACAAACAACAACATCCACAGACAAAGAGACAAACACAAAAAAGATTAACGTTCACAAAGCTAGCGGTTATTCGCTAGTTGTCGTCCGATGCGACGGTAAAAATGTGTATCAAGAGACTTATAGAGGCAAAGACGCTTCAACTAGATTTATAACGACGCTGTTACAATTACAAAGCGATATTAATTGCATATTTGAAAAACCCCAAACCATGAAATTTAACGAGCGAGCTAAAGACCATCATGATAAAACAAACGCGTGTTGGATTTGCGAGAAACCAATTTATCCCAATTACTCGAGCAACTGTCAGTGCCAGAACCCCAGGGAACCCAAGACGATAAAACAAAAGAAAGAATATCAGTATAAAAATAGTAAGGGATTTATCGAGTCTAAATGTCTCGACTGCCAAAAGAGCATTAATAAATTTAGAAAGGTGAGAGATCACTGCCACGTCACTGGTAAGTATAGGGGTGCTGCACACGCTTATTGTAACCTCAAACTACAAATTAAACCCGGTTGTACACCGATACCAGTCTTTTTTCACAATTTACAAAATTACGACGCGCATTTAATCATGCAGGGAATGACAGAATACGATAGTCAAACAGAAATACAAGTGATCGCTAAAAATTCAGAAAAGTATATTTCGTTCTCGATAGGAAATCTACGATTTCTAGACTCGTTTAGTTTTATGGCATCGTCGTTGGATAAATTAGTGAAAGCTTGTCCAAAAGAGTCGTTTCAGCTACTCAAAAAGCATTTTAAACATTCTGACTTGCTATTACAAAAAGGAATTTATCCCTACGAATATATGAACTCGTTTGATAAGTTTCAAGAGACCAGCCTACCACCCATCAGCAAGTTTTATAGCAGACTAAAAGACGAACATATATCGCAACAAGACTACGACAGAGCTAAACGCGTGTGGAACGAGTTTAATATACACAATCTAGGAGAATATCACGACTTGTACGTGACCACCGATACGTTATTACTTGCAGGCGTATTTGAAAACTTTAGAAGAACGTGCATTACAAACTACGGGCTAGATCCAGCCAATTATTACACCGCACCCGGATTGTCCTGGGATGCTCTATTGAAACACTCGGAAATTAAACTCGAACTATTGCAAGACGTCGACAAACATTTATTTTTTGAAAAGGCAAAACGAGGAGGCATATCGAGCGTGGGTGGAATGAGACATCACAAAGCCAATAATCAATATCTCGATGACTACGATTCAAACAAACCCTCGAGTTATATCGCTTATCTGGATGCCAACAATCTGTACGGTTGGGCTATGAGTCAATATCTACCGTACAGCGATTTTAAATGGACACCCTCGAAACCGTTTACCGAAGAAAGAATATTAACGCTGAAGAAAACGTCTAATACCGGTTACTTTTTTGAAGTAGACCTCGATTACCCGCACGATCTACACGTCAAGCATAACGATTATCCACTAGCACCCGAAAATATGGTCATACCCCAAGAGTGGATGTCTGATTATCAAAACGAGTTATTGGATACCGAACCTAGTAGCGACGTACAAAAATTAACGTGTACGCTTAATCCAAAACAAAAATACGTGTTGCACTACGTTACGTTGCAGTCATACCTCAATCTAGGTTTGAAATTAAAAAAGGTACATCGCGTGTTAAAATTTAAACAAGCGCCTTGGATGAAATCTTACATCGATAAAAACACGCAACTCCGAACCAAAGCGTCCTCTGATTTTGAGAAAGACTTTTTTAAACTGATGAATAACAGCGTGTTTGGTAAGACGATGGAAAACGTTAGAAACCGGATTGACGGTTACCTACTGAGAGACAATAATGAGAGCGATCAAGAAAAATACAAAAAAATAATTCAAAGACCGAGCTATAAAACAACAACGCCGTTTCCAGAATGTGACCTGTCGTTTGTCGAAACATATAAAACGACAACCGTGTTAAACAAACCCATTTACTGCGGAGTGAGCATCTTAGATCTCTCAAAGACGCTGATGTACGATTTTTATTACAACCGATTGAAAGACAAGTACGGAGATCAAATCAGGTTGATGTATACGGATACGGACAGTCTGTTGATTGTCGTTTACACGGATGACATATACAAAGACATGCAATCTCACGGGCAACACTACGACTTTTCGAATTACAATCTGGATCACGAGTTATACGATCCAACCAATAAGAAAGTGATTGGTAAATTTAAAGACGAATTTGGAGGTAAGGTCATTCAAGAAGCAGTTTGCATAAGACCTAAGATGTATTCGATTTTAGCGGATGACAACAACATCACTCTTAAAAAAGCCAAGGGGGTCACAAAATCGGTCACTGACAAAA